ATTTAACATAAAATGCGTGCAATACACCTTTAAGGCTCATTTTTAGATGTAAAAATGTACGTTTCTGATAGAATGATAGAAGCAGCACAATACAGTATGAATTTGTTTCCGTTGTTTCCATTCCATAACAGCAAACTATAATGCATTAAGTTAGGCTCACCGCAGAACACTGATTGGTTTACAGAGAATTGTCACTTGTGTGTGCAACAAGCCAGAGAAACGACAACTCAGGAATTGCCATTTTTAAATTCACAGCCATCTATTTGTTATATATATATATGTTGTCTAAGACAACATAATAACACAATCTTAAACAAAGCTTGTTGTCATTTTGACATGCTAAGAAGCAAGAACATCATCTGCAGTATGTCCTCCATTGTTGTTTACGAGGCCATTCATATGTAGTGTCAAAAACATCTGTGAATCATAATTTCCTCTTGTGTTTGCATCTATTGTAGTATACTCACTCTGTGCTCAAAAACCAAGGGTCATAATGGCAGCCACAGTAGGATCTCAATAGAAACTAAACACAAACCAGTCATATTTCCATCTGTTTCAAGCTACGTCTATTTGCATCACATATCAACAGAACAAAACAGAGATATGATCACAAACTTTACTTGTAGGTACCATGTTATGGGTCATGATGGTATCATTGATGGTACCATTATGCTACCAGCACAAATCGATACATTTTCCTTTCTGACTGGTCTTTGAAGTAATTTCTGTCGAAGCACAACCCAGGCATGTCTCCTTGTCGTTTAGTAAAGGCTGGTTTATACTTCTGCATCGAATGTGCCGTTTTTTTAAAGTTGCGCATCAGCCATAGTGAGAGGTACAGAAGGCTGTACCAAGCCTTAATGCTATATTTCATTGCACAACAAATATCCAGCTTTTTGTCAAAAAAAAAAGTGTAATCATTCAACCTTGTGACAGCACATAAAAAACTATCAATTGAGCTGAATGAGGACTGGTTTCATGTTTATTAACTGCTCTGGTCTAGAGACATCATGTGCGATATGTCTCTCACAGTCTTCATGTTTCAGTTAAAATTATGTCTCAGTTTTGCATTTCATGTCACTTCAGGTATGTAGAGACATCTGGATGTGTTCTGCCCTGTGATCAACAATTGGTCTCTAGCTTTGTTCCCTGAGTACACAATACAAAACTTTTGCTTTGACTTTACGATTCTTTTTTTTCTTCGATTGGACCATTTTTCTCTTCAAGGTCGACTATCACTCTTGACCTTCTCTTTTGACTCTGTGCTTTAAGGGAAATGCTTGGCTGTGGAAAATGAATGAGAGTCATTTCTGCGGCTGACGGCTAGCACAGGCCTGAAGCCATGTTTCTGCTCTGTGCTCAGATGGTGCCGGTAAATTCCCTGTCCCTCGGGAATGTTTATAGGCCATTTTGTACCTTACTTGCAGCCTGGAGCACCTGGTTTTACATCAGACTCCAATGGTTGCTACATGTGCATGTTCACAGAGGCCTTGAAAACTGGCCGAGGTTTAGAGGGATAGTTCGCCCAAAATAATAGATATTTGTCATCATTTACTTTCTTTGTTGTTGTCGTCATGTTTGATGTTGTTGCTGCAAGAGTTGTTGGTGTTACAGTTTCATATAATAAAGGTCATTCAATTTTTTTTTTTTATATATAAATCTGTTATCGTTTGGTTCTATGGGTCTCGTCAATCAAATCTGATCTTTAATTTGTATTTTCTATTGGATTCAGGTAAGGTCATTGGGTGGGCCATTCTACAGCTTGATTTTCTTTCTCTGAAACCATTTAAGAGTTTGCTTGGCTGTTTTGGATAATTGTTTTGCAGAAATGTCCACTCTGGTTTTATTTTCAGCATCCAGATAATGTAGTTGTCGGACTGAAGTAGCTAATATTTATTTACTATGAGGAAGGGCAGAGGGTTGCTGAAGAACTACTAAGAGATTTCAGCAGCTCTCTGGGCTTTCACTGCTTTTCTACACCTCTATTTCTTCATGTGTTCAATACTTTTTTACCTGTGTCATTTCATTTTATTATGCATAACTTAATTTGTAAAGCAATTAGATTGGGGGGGTGGGGTTGTTTGTTTTTTATTGGGGGAAAATTCAAGTCAACGGCACCTTTAGTAGTATGCTTTCTGAGAAAAAATGGTGACGTTCAATACTTTATTTTCCCTGCTATAATAATAATAATAATAATAATAATAATTAGACTATTTTTATATTTTTATATTTTATATTTTTAATTTGTATCTAATAAAGCAACATCCAACCACAACAATAATAATAATAATAATAATAATAGCTATTTTTGTGTTATATATTTTAATTTATGCAATAAAACGAATACTGTATGTTACCCTTGACCACAAAAAAGTCATTAGTGTAAGTTTATGTAAATTTTCATTTATGCATTATCTAAACCTGAAAAAATAAGTTACTTCAAAAAATCCAACTATTGGGATTTTTGTCTTTTTAAAGTTGTCTAAATTAAGTTCAAAGAGAATTGTACAAGTTTTGATCTGCTTTAAATATAAAATTTATCTTCATGGAATATTTTTTACATTTAATATTCAATTTATTTTTGGCATAAAAGAAAAATCTATCCTTTTGACCCATACAATGTTTTTTTTGGCTATGTTCAAAATATACCAGTACAATATAAGACATGGTCCAGGGTCAGATAAATGGATGGCTGGATAACTTTTCACTTGACAACATCACTGCAGACTGTAGGCAATCTCCTGTCCATGATATTGCATAGCATGTTCGAGCACAATTAGAGGAATTATCCTGCTGTAATTGGTGATTTTGGTGAACGTCAATCACACATGCTGAAATCTATATGACGATGCTTCTGTGGCTAATTTGAAGCATTAGCATTCAGTCCATGCATCCGATGTGCTAAGATGAAGATGAGGCTTTATTTCTGATTGAGCTCTTGCCTTCATAATCATTCTTCCTGTTGACCTTCAGCTCAACGGTGTATTTCATACAGCAGATTGACATTAATACAATTATAATTTACACTTTTGTTGACGGTGATGGATAACTCTGGTTATTTGCCACAGGACTTGCTGTGTCTGTAGGGCTTCAGAAAATAAATGCAATGCATTTGTTAAAAGTTAATTGAAATGATTGTCTATGATGCATAGTGCGTCCAATATTGTAATTTATTGTATAATTACATAATTTTTTGTTGTTGTTGCAGTATACAGATAGCTCTGTTGTAATAGCATAATGTGCATTTTGCTTTAAAATACTTTTTAATTTTTTTTTATAATTCATAAATTAATAATAAAGAATTTGTAATTATTCATTTATTTTCTGATGAATAATAATTCATATTTAGTATTTTTATGTAAATTTAAATGTTTTCATTAAGCATTTGATCAAATCATTATTAATCTATAGTATATGTAAGCTATTGATACTAAATATTAAATATGAATGCCAAAATTTGAAAACTAAAGTTAAATGTTATTGATCGTGAAATCATATCATTATATTTAGATGGTATTTTGGATTAATAGATGATGTTATTAGGTTAATATATTATAAAAATATTTTAGAATACACACTATATAATAATTTGATTATAATCGTACTTAATATAAATTAATATAATGGTAATTATTTTGTTGTACACGTTTGGTCTGCTTTGTCCATTCAGGCTCAAGCATTGGCATATCTTTGTTTACAAATCTACGTTGGGTTAACTCCCATATCTACAAAATTACATTTGTAAAAAACCTATCCTTAGCTATGGCCTTCGGTCACTGGATATTTATTTACTGTCTGTTCCTCAAGTGCAGACTGAGATGGGGAAAAAAGGCTTTTAAATACGCAGCACTTTTTGCATAAAATAATCTACAAACAAAGTTGCTGTTTGAAGAATTGATTTCACTAAATGCTTTTAAAAAGAGTTTAAAGGATTTACAAATTGATTGTAGCTTGTAGATGTTAATTATTCAGGTTAACTGTCAATTGTTTTTTTTTTTTTTTTTTTTTTTTTTTTTGTTGTCTGTTAGACCCATGTGACATGTACTTCCTAATCTTGGCCAGGACACTCTTGAAAAAGTGTTTAAAAAATGTTAATCTCAACATGTCTTTTGAGAAAATAAAGGTTATAATAATAATAATAATAATAAATTATCATGGAAATACTGAGATTTATATTTATTCTAATACTGCATTCAGAAATTAAGACAATTCATAAGAAACAAACTATTTTATGTATTTAATAAATTGAAAAAGAACATACTTATACTTTATATAAGAATATCTATCATCAGTCTTTGAGAAAATAAATTATCATGGTTTTTATTATTTAAATTTAATATAAGGAATGACATGGAGACTTTTATTTTGCTGAAACACCATTTTAAAAGGCATTTAAGCTAAATGATTTCAAATGAATTAGCATAAGTTATTTATGTAATTAGAATATAGATGGACCATTAGGAATTCCTTCTGTTGATTCAGATGCACATCTCTCAAGCTGCTGTCTAAATTCACATCTGTATTCTTTTAATTGGTTTTTATGCTAGTAAACTTCACCTCATTTCACTGCTACTTGTACTAGCAAACAGAAAACATTTGTTAGGTCAAATTCTGTCCTTCACCTCTGAATAAATCCAGTGTCAATGTGTCTTTGGATGCGGACACAAGGCTGCACTATTGAGCCCAGTCTGGCTGAAACCCACATTCCTCTGAAATATGAGTGGTGTTATTCATTACCACACTACGCAGCTGTTTATGTTCCTTTCCACATATTCCCTATGGAAGAATTAATGATCCTCAAAATGCGGAGACTGATTAATATACAAGCTTATTTACACTCTGTTGCTGCCATGAAATGAGAGTGCTTTCGCAAACACTTTGTCATCTGCTTTGCTAATGCTTCATTAACTAGCACATACATTAGAAACTTTTGTTTTGTTGATTTCAAATTCATAGATTTCTGTTTCTAACTTGTTTTCTTTTTTTTTCCTAATCTTCAGACCACCAAAGCTGCCTGTTGTGGTCTCTGGAGTTGTCACTAAGGTAGGTGTGAATGTCCGTTCATTACTGCGTCATAAAATGGAGAGGTCAGGTCATCCCTCGTTCAACAGTTAGAGCTTTGCTGATCTACACCAGTGTGTTTAACTTTCTCAAACTAGCTTAGAGCAACTAATGTATTTAAATTGTTGTTTGTTTTTAAAAGGTCTAATATAATTCTGATACCTGAATAATTAATCAGGCTAAATATTTCTTTATAGTATTTAATAAAATGTAACTAATTTAATGGTCTAACAAAAAATGCATGTATGTATATATGTATGTATAAGTGTACACTTGAAAAATAACAAATGCTGGGTTCCACAAAATTCCTTCATGTTTGCTCAACACAAATCAATTTAAAAGGATCTTAATTGTGTATATATTACACTCATACATTCATCTTATTACAATATGAAAAATGTCATATTATGATTTAAGTGAGACTTTTCAAGACTTTTGGCCAGCGGAGAAATTAAAATGGTCGTGCCCAACTGAGTCTGGTTCTCAAGGTTTTTTTTCTTCACTCCCATCAGGTGAAGTTTTTTTTCCCTCTCCGCTGTTGCCACTGCCTCGCATGGTTCAGGATTGGTAGAGCTACGCATCGATGAATTGGCTCTTCAGTGTTTGAACTCTCAGTAATGATTAAATCACACTGAACTGAGCTAAACTGAACTGAACTGAACTTAAACACTAAAACCTGAACCACACTGTTCCAGTTACTGAACCACACTGTTCCAATTACTATGACCATTTATGTGAAGCTGCTTTGACACAATCTACATTGTAAAAGCGCTATACAAATAAAGCTGAATTGAATTGAATTGACTAAAATTATCACTGTTGTCACTCATTTTTAGAAGCACACTTAAAGGGCCATGAAACCCGCCTCTTTTAGTTAATGTCCGTCTCAGATTTTTTTTTTATACATTTTTAAACATGTGCAAAAACAGCTGCACGGATATAGGCAATGTGTCTGAATTGTAATGAACTCAACTGTTAACAGACAGGGGGAAAAAACATGCAAAAAACCCTGTGGATTATGGAAACAACGCATAACTTTACAACCCTTCATGAACGGTTAAATACTGCTTGCCGTGCGTGGAAGTGGTCTTACCCAGTCATTGCATCTCACAGCTTGGCAGGTCTACCTTAACTTCAGAAAGCACATGCTCTCATAAATAAAAAGCTGGGTTTTTTCATAGGATAAGAAAACTTTGCTATGAATAATAATGAGAAACCGACAAGTCATTACTTCATAAGCAGTCGCTATGATCCCGCCCCAAAAATCATTTTAAAGATTAAATTAGCTGACAAAAGCTCAAAATTATCCAGTTTTCCCCACAATTAAAGCTGACAGGTGCTGACAGTGTCCTTACTGATGCTAAACACACACAAATCTGTTAAAATCTCAATTAAAAGTACTTGAGGGTGTCTTGAACCTTTAAGGAATTTCAAGTCAAAGTTTCAGAGCACATACAATATAGAACCAAAAATATTCAAACTTGTAAACTTGTTCTCTGCAAACAAAAGTTTTTGTTCAACATTTATTTTAATGTATAATTCACTCTATTAACAAACCGTTAACTACGACCTTTAGCTCAATAAACTACTAATTAGCTGCTTCTAAATAGTTGGTAAGGTAGTAGACTATTTAAGCCAGGGATGCCCAACTAGGGTCCAAGGGCCAAAGTTGGCCTGTAGTAACCTTTGATTTTGCCCGCCATCTAAGAATAGAGGAAGAATGATGGGCATGGTTTAGAGATTGTCATTTCAAATCTAATGTAACCTTTTGTTTCCTTCCTTTATTAACTGAAATTAAATGGAGTAAATGAATCCTATTTAAGCTGCATATTGTATGCATTCCATGATACACCGTGAGAGAATTCATGAAATGGGAGTAAAACAAAGCAACTGACGCAGGTATGTCACTTAATGATGACAATAGGCAGATGTAGTACGTCTCCATTCATACTACTCGCATTCATACTGTATAGAACATACTCCTCTAATGGTCGAGTAGTACATTTCAGTAGGTAATTTCAGATGCAGTCTCAATTTGAATGTGTACACTGTAATTCTGACTGTACACCCGACACATGGAGGACAAGTCAATGCAAAGGCAGATTCTGCTTGACTAGTGTATTCATCATTGAACTCCACAGTGTTATACATGTGATTGTTTATGTTTTTATTGCAGTAAGTTTTCATTTTAAATGTTATACTGCATTAGCAAGATGGCTTAAAGTTATGTTTTCTATTACAAAAAGTTTGGGCGCCCCTGGTTTAAATATTGGGAGGATTAGGGATCTAAAATAAGATACTTTATAAGTGCTAATAAACAGTTAATTTCTTAATAACATTCAGGTATTAATAATATTAATAATAGTATTAAGATTGATTATAGTTAATAATAAAATCCAAAGCGGTGCTAAACCTGCTTATATCTAAAATCCCTCATGCTCATCTGATGTTCAGACACAGATAGATGGTTTCTCAGATAAAAGCGTTTCCGTCTTGCGTCACATATTGAGATGATGATATGAATGATGAGGTTTCCTGAATGTCTCATCACATTGAGTCCATTTCCAGCCTGAACTGACCTTAATCCTCTCCGCCGCCACACGATTGGCCACGTCTCAGGATTTATTATGTTTTGATAGATACTATGACTAAATGCATCAATCTGCGCGTGCAACATCATGAGAGGGACATTTTATTATTAAATGTGAATGTCAAATGTGCAAGGGTTTGATTGCATTTCACTGCTATTACAAGTGACTTTGCAGGACGATGCACATGGAGTCTTTTACTCTGGCGTTGCTCTCTTTTTCCTTTCCAAGTGATCCAAACTGCTTCTAGTGACACAATTTATGCAATATTTGTTCTCTAAATAGTCACATCTGAGGCTCTTTTTGTCCTCCGGCGAGCTGGTAAGCAGACAGAAAGCTGAGAAATGGCTCGCTTTTGTTCAGTGTTGGCATGTGGCACATCTTGGACTGTCCATCCCATAATCTACTTCAAAAGCTCCGCATATTTGCTCTGAAAGACTCACTCATACAGATTAAAGCGGTGTTGAAGAATGTCTGTGACCGCTGCTTTCTTGTTATTTGGGCATCAGTTGACTGCATTCAGATGCTTTTGCGTGCCGTTTTCTTTTCATCTTAATAAACTTGAAACTAAGGCAGAAAAGGGGCTTTTAACTACACTGCAAAACATGTAGTTGATATTAATCGTTGTTTTTAGACGCATCTTTTTAATCAACGCTTAAATGTTTAATGCTCTTTTTTTTCTGATCTTTTCTGTAATGCTTATGCTCAGCTTTCTGTCTGCTTGTTTATTATTGCTCTGTTGATTTTGATAGCTTACAACAAGCAGTGTGGTCAATTTCAAATACATCGTTTTTTAATGACTTCATTCACCATCAACATTCTACTCCACCTAAAAAAATCTAAATGTATTGTGCATTTTTTCTTCATAATTCAGTACTAAATATCATTCTTAGGCTGCGTCATTAAATGAAAAAGTTAGTCAGATCTTTTTATATTGGGTGTATAAACTTAGTTCAAGGTTGTCCGAACTCAGTCCTGGAGGGCCGGTGTCCAGGAGAGTTTAAGTCCAACCCTAATCAGACACACCTGAACCAGCTAATCAAGCTCTTACTAGATATACTAAAAACTTCCTGGCCCTCCAGGACCGAGTTTGGACAGCCCTGACTTAGTTGATGTCAGAATTATTAGCCCCCCTGAATTTTAACCCCCTCTTTATTTTATTTTTCAATTACTTTTAAACGTAGAAGAGATTTTTTTTTTTTTCTACACATTTCTAAACCTAATAGTTTTAATAACTCATCTCTAATAACTGATTTCTTTTATCTTTGCCAAGATGACATTAAAAAATATTTAGCTGGATATTTTTCAACACACTTCTATACAGCTTAAAGTCACATTTAAAGGCTTTACTAGGTTAATTAGGTTAACTAGGCAGGTAGGGTAATTAGTCTACAGACCATTGTTATACAATAACTTACCTATCAAAAAAAAATAGCTTATAGGGGCTGATAATATTGACCGTAAAATTGTTTTTAAAAATTAAAAATTGCTTGTATTCTGACTTCAACTGTATTTGTATACACTCAAATAAATGTTTCCCTTGGATGGTTTGATTTTGAATGAAAAATAATCTGATGTAACTTTTTATAATTTGTTACTAGAACTTATTTGCTAGATTTTTAACTGAAAGTGTGGTCATCGGTTATTCATAAACTGTAATTCAATGGTTACCAGCATTTTGGAAGTATATTGGCTCTATTTTAACGATCTAAGTCCAACATCAAAAGCACATGGCGCAAAAGCATTAAGGACATAACTATTTTCTATTACTGTTACTATTTACATGGCAGAGTTTTTAAACGGAAAAACTGAACACTTCTCTAGTGAGAATACATTTAAACAAACAAACAATCTGCACGAGGATAAAGAATGGACCTCCTCCATTTGGCCTCTTTACTTTGTCTTTACTCTTTACTCCTTACGTGGATAAGGAAACGGTGTTGTGCCCACTCCACTGAAGACATTCATTAGCTTACATATTTAGTTTCATTTGTTAAGCGCAAAGATTTATTTTTAAAACTATTTCTAAATTCATTTCTAATTTTCAGCAAATGAATAAATGAAAAATAATAAAGATCTGTGATCAAAAAACCAAGAGTTGTATCCAAACACATGTCTTAACCTTATCCCCCATATGGTGACATATCTAAAACCTGACAGGTGGAGAAATCTAAATTTGATTTTATCCAAATAAATATAAATATGCATATAATAAAAAATAATATTAATAATAATATTATACAAATGCAAATAGGCATGAATGATCTGAAAAAATGATGGAGGCAGTGGTTTTTATATGTAGAAAAAAATAATTTTTGTAACGTTTTAATCCTTCAGTTTTTGTTTTTTTTTCATGTAAAATATTTGTGTATTGCTGTACATCTTGTGTGTATTAAGTAATGTGTAAGCATTTGGACCCTCACAGGCACATAACTAATGCACTCTGCACTGGACTTTAGACCTGCTTTTAGTTGGTCAATGATGCAGTGTATTTCAGTTTTTTTTTTTAAAAAGCAAAGTGCCAACAATGCGCCTTAACACACCTCTATTTTAGACCAGCACACCCATGAGTTCACAAAATGGCACAAAAGGATTTGCTATTTAAACAATGTGGTGCAAAATGTGAAAACTAAAGTTGCCTTGGACTAAAAATTGCATCAATTATTGGTATTAATGTACTTAACTGCTGACAAATCATTTACCATTTCCCTTTTTTATGCACAAATGATAATCCTGCATTGCCATTGGTTGTTTTCAGGGAGATAAAGACTTCACCCCTGCTGCTGCCCAGGTGGCCCATCAGAAACCTGTGCCTTCAGCACAGAAGCTGCCTGCTGGCCAGCACCTTAACCAGCACATCCACCAGCCCAGGAAATGAGCCTTCAGCCGCTCCAGAACATCACGGGCCCCCCCACATGGGGCCAGGACCACACCACCCCAAACACCTGCTCAGGTTGCCAGGGTTCTCTTGCCGTCAAACATTCCTTACGCCCCCTCCCCCTCCCTCCGTCTGTGCCTGCAAGTGTCCATTTTCGACCAGTATCATGACAAACATTCATTTTCTTGTTTCGTATCTGTAAATCATCGCAACACTAAAAATCGAAGGCTTCATTGCAGATCGCCAATCAGAAACATTCTAATTCCATGGGTTCATTTCATGAGGGATTTGTGGATGTTTTATTTTCTTTTTTAATTTTACATGAATCGTTCCAGAGAGATGTAAATTGTATAAATCAGTTTTGTTTTGTTTTTTTGAAGTTGGTGAATGTTGTATATTAGGCATTAGGTACTAGGTGTGGCTATCTGATATCTGAATAAAGAGTTAATATAAAACCACGCACGCCTTTGCTCTTAAAGACACTTTTTTTTTGAGCCAGAATTGCATTACATGAAAATATCGGTGCTTTGGCAGATTAGTGTTAAAATGCTGAGCTGAAATGCGGTCTGTGTTTAGTGGTCCAGGTTGAATTTATTTCAGAAATTTGCCTATAGACTGAATAAAACAATTTCAATAGTTTTCTTCAAAGCATTCATATTATTGAATTGCACTTCACAAAGAAAATAAGTGCTAAAAATAAAGCACATACAATGCATAATTGATCTTAATATACATTTAAAGTCAGAATTATTAGTAATTATTATCAGAATTATTAGTAAATAATATTTGATTTTTTTTTTCTTTTTTTTGAATAGATATTTTTCAAGACACTTCTATACAGCTTAAAGTGACATTTAAAGGCTTATCTAGGTTAATACGGTTATCTGGGCAGGTTAGGGTAATTACGAAGGTTATTGTATAACAATGATTTGTTCTGTAGACTATTGAAAAAATATAGCTTAAAGGAGCTAATAATTTTGACCTTAAAATGGGATTTAAAAAATTAAAAACTGCTTTTATTCTAGCCGAAATAAAACGAATAAGACTTTCTCCAGAAAAATATATATGCATATTATCAGACATACTGTGAAAATGTCCTTACTCTGTTAAACATTATTTGGCAAATATTTAAAAAAAGAAAAAAATCCGAAGGGGGGCTAATAATTCTGACTTCAACTGTATGTGTAAAGTATCCCTCTTTATTAAATATACATAAAGTACACTGAAACAAAATGAAAATTAACTTAAAAGGTAGTTTGTTTTCATGCTGTTTTGAGCTGTTCATGACAGCCATTCAACCAGGAATAATTGTAGAAATTTGTGGCGAATAAAAAGCAGGGGACTTTAAATACTCTCATTGCGAGCACTGTAATAAAAAGTTAAAACAACTGCCATGTCTGTTTTGTCCTTTTAAATGTTATTAATGAAGGTAGTGTAGAACTGTGCTCTCAGCACAGCAGGGAAAGTTCATGTGTAATCCCATGGCCTAGTTTTCATGCTCTATAGACGAGTGGAGGGTGGCAAAGCCGTCAGCTTCCTGTTCTCCACAACCCTCTGAGCCACCCAACCTAATGCCACTCAGGATTTGCCCCGTTTTCTTCCTCTCTTCATTATCTCATGTTCTCAAGCTCTCCCCCTGTCCATTTTTGTCCCTACCCGTTCACTTTGTGTTAAGCTCAGGTGTTGATAAGAGCCAGCAGCTGCCGCAGGCCTCCGGTTGTTCCCACTGCATGTTTTGGGCCTAAAACAGCAAGACTTCTACGGTGCTTGCCATTAGCACACCAGCTGGCCAAACCTGCTGTTCCCCCTCGGCCAAGGTGAACCTCAAAAGCTTGAGTGGCAGCTAAACCCTTACGAAATGTCACGTTTCAGGTCAAGGTTGCTCTTTTCCACAGCGTGCTATCTGGAAATTGAGCACTGGCTTTGAAGGCAGTTCAAAGCGACCCAAACCCTGAGGTCTATCTGACATTCGGGACTTTACAGTGTATTTGTCTTTGATAGGTTATCAGCACTGCCACAGATCCCACGTGTTGGGTGACCGACCGAACAGCATATTGCGGCAAAAGCCCGAATCTGAAAGCTTTGTCTTGCCTTTTAAATCAAAAGCAGCATCTTACATTTCACTGTTGTGTATTTTTGTTTAGATATACAATTTAGGCATTCAAATAGGATGTTTTCACTGCAGCCATTGAACAACATAACTGAGCCAATGTAGAAATGAATGGTGAAGTTAAATTTTCATTCAAGTAAAGTTATGGCTCATTTACACTTGTATATATGTGATTTGATATGATCCAGTGATTTGATTTGGTATGCAGAACTTTACAGCACTGTATGCATTTGTTTCCATTTCCACTGTTAAAAGTAGGACAATGGCAAACTGTACCAGTTTTGGGACCCTTTTAAAAGGGTATAACACAACATTATGATACCAAAATGGTGGAACAAGACCAGGGATGGGCAAACTTGATCCTGGAGGGCCGGTGTCCTGCATAGACTTGCTCCAACCCTAATCAAACACACCTGCTTGTAGCTTTCCAGTGATCTTTAAGACACTGTTTGGTGTGATTAGGTGTGTTTGATTAGTATTGGAGCAAAAGTCAGCAGGGACACTGACCCATTGAGGATCAAGTTTGCCTATCCCTTAGCTAGACTCCTTGCTGAACTTTGCAGATCGTTCAAGTTGGCCTGTGTCAAAATCATACTGAACTACTTAGTAGTAACTCAGTAGAAACAAGACAGTAGTTCACTTTGCTGACTTATTTTTTACGTCTCTAGCAGTTGAAGCGGGGAATCCAAGTATTGATATCAAACCAAAAATACAGGGGTGCCCAAACTCGGTCCTGGAGGGCAGGTGTCCTGCCAATTTTTAGCTTTAACTTCTCAACAAACCTGCCAGAAAGTTTCTAGTAAAGCCACGATCACACTGAACTTTTCACTCGATAGACTTCCATTTCGCAGTTCGCTGCGTTGCAAAGTTCATGCTTGGTGAACTGACCTGCGAAATCGCATCACATGGCTGCATTAGACCAATCGAAGATCAAAACATGACCTCTCAGAACAGAAATGTAAAATATGGAACGATCGCTCACTTTTTAAATGTTTAATGATCTAGTTTAATTCTGCCCCTTTTTGCAGCGCCGTACAACAGAATATTGCATGCTCAAACTCTAGTGCAGGGGTGCTCAATCCTGTTCCTGGAGAGCCACCCTCCTGCAGATTTCAGTTGCTACCCATATTAAACACACCTGAACCAATTAATTAGGACCTGAACACCACTTGATAATTACAGGCAGGTGTGTTTGATATGGGTAGCAACTGAAATCTACAGGAAGGTAGATCTCCAGGAACAGGATTGAGCACCCCTGCTCTAGTGTGACCATGGCATAAGACAGGGGTGTCAAACTCAATTCCTGGAGGGCCGAAGCCCTGCACAGTTTAGTTCCAACCCTGCTCCAACACACTTACCTGTAGGTTTCAAACAAGCCTGAAGGACTCAATTAGTTTGATCAGGTGTGTTTAATTAGGGTTGAAACTAAACTGTGCAGAGCTGCGGCCCTTTTGGAACTGAGTTTGACACCTGTGGCATAAGAGCTTGATTAGCTGATTCAGGTGTATTTAATTAGGGTTGGAACTAAACTTTACAAGGCACCCCTGCTATAATATGATACCAACCCTGATATGAACTCTATGCTAATGCAGGGATGGGAATACTTTGAGGGCATATGTCCTGTAGAATTTAGCGCCAAATCTTATCACCTCATTCAAAATCTCATTCATTTGGGTGTGCCCCCTCAGTAAAATTAGTTCAATGAGCAGTTTATCCTTGTTTAAAACATTTAATTAGAGGCTTCCCCCTTTCAACTTTTAGCACCAAAACTTCAATGTGAGGCTCTCCATGTCTCAGAGTTCCTTTTGGGCCCTTTTGCCCCAAATTATCCAAAGAACACCTCTCTAGACACTGGTCCTGTGTCTGAATGTGCCTATACTTCCATAATATTCAAAACATCCTTAGTATGTTGTATGTAGAAAATAAGGGATGCGAAATGTAGGGTGCTCTTCAAACTGGCAGTTTGGCCACAGGAGATGATTTGGGAATGACACTATGTAAGAACACTAATGTTGTCATCATGTGACAACATGACTTAGTACGTCCAAACTTCATTCATACTAGCCTATATATAACATACTTTAGCTGTACCATTCATATCAAATGTAGTACTTTACAATCTCTGACAATTTAACATTGTCTGTTGTCCCATTCGCTGCAACCGAAGTGATGGGAGAATTGTTTTTTTTTTTGTTTTTTTTTTTTGTTTTTTGAAAAAGCCAAGATTTTCAGCCATGATGTGTTACATAGTCTATTATTGCATCAGGACTTCTAGAGACACCATTGAGAAGCCCAAAACAAGACTAAGCTTTTGTAGATAATCTAGCAAAATTGAGTTGTAAAATTAAATAAAACAACGTAACCTGGTCACTATACTTATTCAGTTCATTTTATTTAATGAACTGAAAGGGTTGTCTGTTATATCACTGGATCCTGAGGCCAAATGTGTGCCAGTCACAGAGCCTGTCATAGAGCTTATTGACTATCTGGAGCACAATAATATCATCCAGAGTATCTCCAAACAGTCTTTCCATCTAACACAAATCAATATTTAGCCTGGTTATAATAGCCTACTTTATCGCTCAACCGCGTATCCGCGAGACCGTGTCTACTGACCTGCAAAATGTACAATAAAAACAGGTAACCAGGTCGTCGTTCCACACGCGTGGTGCCTCCAGCAGAGGGCGCTTTATTGTTCTTCAGTCAGTTCTGGCGGTGTTATCCTGAGGCAAGTTGCTGACCTTGCAATACTGATAAATCCTTCAGCGTCTGTTAGCTCGTGCCAGTGACCTCAATAGCTTAATAAGGTACGTGCCTCACCTTTACTCCACCACTTACTGCTCAGGGTTCAGCAAATGGCCATTGTTGTTTCAAAGTTACAATGAGATTCGTATTGCAGTTGTTGGTCACAGTATTTTTTAAAGATGTCACTTAGACACTTTAATTTAGCACTGGTTTTGACATCTATATCGATTGTGTGTTTTGTGCAGTCAGATATGGCAAGCTGTTTTAGCATTTAATAAGATAACGTATTTACATCCCAGTATTGATTCATAGCTGGTAACTTTTCCATCAAGTACTTGTACTTTAATTCTTTAGCTACTCGTGCTTATTCTTAAGGTACTTTTCCCACATGAAAATATACTCACTTTGTGAATCCTACTATGGTAAAGTATACTGTATAGTATTTACTACACTTTGTTAATGAATGCTTCAACATATCGTATTATTTACTAACTGATAAACTAATAGATAGTGTGTAGCTATTGTTGTATAATGTACCCTTACAAGTTATGTTTCCATCTGAAAGTGTGAATTAAATATATGCGCAAGCAGCGCAAAACTGGAATAT